AAGCGTTACATACATAGTAAGTAAAATATTGAAAAACTCATTCCATTTACTTCTCTTGTAAGCTTCAAAATCATAATTTCAAAGTCTCTTATTCTTTTATGCATTATTCAAATATCGGGAAACTACTTTTTGCTTAAATATATACTTGGAATTGTTTATATTGTATGAAGAAGTAACCTACGTAGTAACAGGAAATTAATTTACATTTTATTTTTCATACAAGTTTGTAGTTTCCCACAGCTATTTGTGTTCTTTTATCCTAAAGAAGGATTTTTATTCTGCAAAGGTGGAAAAAGGAAAAGAAAAATAAGAAATGCGTGTTTCGTCGATACTACAGACTACAAACGACGCCAGTACCCTCTTCAGTTTTTTTTGTGTACCATGGCCCTTACTGATTTATCTTTGCATCCTAGAGACATCTATATTTTTATCAATTAAGCAACATAATTTTACAATTTTTAGACTTGTAATTTAAACTGCATAATTACTTCATTATCAGTAAATGGAAAGTACGACCGCGTTTTATCGACGGAAGTTACAAATTATCAGATGCTCGTACTTATTTACTGTATGTTAATTTTGAGATGTAATAATTATCCTCGAGGCTACAAAAGAAGATCCGGTAATTTATAATATATTTTATCGCTCTTTGTACAATGATCATTGTCAGGCAATCATAACGATTTAATTATGGCTTGTAAAATTAATTTGTGTTAAATATATGCATCTTATATTTCACGAAGTTCAATAAATTATGTGCCACTTTTAGCAACCGTGAAATATTCCAATAGTTTTGCTTTACAGAACGCAAAACGCTTAAATTTGCATTCGTATTACGGTAATGAAAGAATGTCGAGCATATCGCTCTAGCTCGTGTCGAGATAACGGATTAACGGAGATACAGTTAAACCGACGGAATCAGCGCGTTTCGGCTTCGTGCTGAGATTGATACGTGTTCCACGAACCGAATGCACGGGAAGTTGAAACATTGTTACATTTTCCTCCGCGACGGTCGGTCGGCATGCGAGAAACTCGAACCTGCGCTCAAGTTGGAAATAACCGCGACCGCGTTGCGACCCTGCACTTCCGGTTACGCCTCCTTCGGCCCTACTGAGATTATTGCCTTATCTCATTCCTTTAATTTCGCACAATTGACCACCACCTCCGTGGCCCGCGTGACATTCTCCCACGATCTTCAATTCCCCCAAATTAATCCTGGCATTTTACGATCAGTTCATTTTATCGTGATTTTTCACTTACGCTCTGCAACAACGTCCAAAGGAAAACTTTAAAAATTTTAAATTATATTTAAAAAAAAATATATATATACTTTTATATAAATAATTGCTTCATATGAGTCAAAATTTTATATTATTTTACATTTTTTTTTGTTCTTTTCATTACCTATAATATAATTATAATTTTTTTCGATATATTATTTATTAAATACATTATTTTATTTGTATATTTCAACTTTACGCGTTTCTGATTCTTTTATTATTTCTATAACATAATTATACTTTTTATAATTTTTGTAATTATATGAATGTATTTATATGAATATATTTTTGTAATTATTGAATAAGTATATCAAAATATATTTATTCATGACGTCTAGCGATCCTTGAATATCTTTGCACTCTAGAATTATAAAATTTAATGTATTTTGGAAAATTCTTGAGAAATCCCTGAAATTTCAGAGTTGGCCTGGAATATATCATTCTTTCTAAAAAAAATCAGATCATAATTAAAGAAAGAAATAATTTAAAAAATTGTGTTCGGATATAAGCCCTCTTTTAAAGATGCAATAAGTTATCAATAGAAAATTTTTTGAATTTAATGTCTAAAATATAAAACGTAGTAGAAAAATCGTTTATGTGGACGGAATATCGTTTAATATTATTTATAAAGCCATAAATAATATTGTTCGCGTTTTAATTCACTCGTCATAGAGTTCTAATTTGAATACAAAATATAATATTGCGTTAATCAATGAAAATTAATTAAATAATGAAAATTAATCGATAGATACATCCTGGAAAACCAGAATTTTTACCTAAAATATCCTGGATTTATCCTTGAATTGACTAGCCAGATTTTGCTGAACACCGTCTTATTATAATTAATACATGCACTGAGACAAATGGTTTGATCTGATTAAATAATTCTAGTGGAAAAAGGACGAATAAAAAATTTCTAGTTAAATCTATTAAAATTCTAGTTGAGATAACTAGAATTCTAATTTATATAATTATTCTGGTGAAAATAAGAATTCTATTAGATTTTACCAGAAATATTGTATCAACTAGAATTCTCGTAAGTTTAACCAGCAGATTCTGATTCGTTCATTTTCAACTAGAAATCTTTTTTAATGTGTCGTACGACATATACAGAAAAATTATCGGATTTGATTTTGGCCGTTTGCCTTTGATAAAACGCAGACATCGACCTTAATGGAGACAACATGACTCATCGCATGTCTCGCTGTATGTTGACCGTCTCGTCTTACGAATTCGATCCATCGCCAGGCGCCGCACGCAAGACAAAGTACGCGTCGTACGTGCCTAGCTCATTAAGAAATAAGAGGTAAGCATCATTTCCTGTCTACTGCACTAAATATCGACTCTTGCGTGATCTCTTCTCGAAAGTTAATTCAATTTCATCTAGAAATCTTCTTCATAAAAAATTCTTCCTACCAGGAAACTTTTAAATAGAAATATTTTAGATATATGCAGGTTTAATCTTCGATACTCCTAATCTTTGAAGTATTCTTTAAAAAGTTATCCCTTAAAAAAGTGATCTCTTAAAAAAGTCGGAAACTATGCACGTGTACGCGCGGGTGCGAAGATTATCTCGTAATTTTATTTAAGACCAATCTACAATACGCTCTTTGCTTCCTGTTTTTTGCTTTTATACACCTTGCCTTTTCTCTCTTTGCGACCGTTTTATTGAAAGTACTTTTTTTTGGTCATGTGTTTGTCTCTTCCGAAATCAGTCTTTCGTCTCAGGCGACTAAAAACAAAAAAACAAGATAGGAGATAAAAAGACAAAAAACAAAAATTGTAAAGAGCAAGAAACAGGAAGCAAAGAGCACATTACGTTGGTAGAGAATCGGTTGCAAACAAGGTTGTGCCACATATTTCAAGATTACTTTTATATGAAATATTTACGTTGTTTACATTAAATTTACACGAATTTTTTTACGTAGACAATACAAGCAATATAAAATACGTATTTTAAATTGGATAATACAATACAGAAAGAAGTAATTTAGGTTTTATAACTATTGTTAATATATTTGACTTTAATATTGATAAATAAAAACATATAAGCGAGAACAGAAGTTCAGTGCAGTTCAGTGCAACGATAAAGAATATAAACTTCGATGATCTATAGATTGTTTACATAAATGACATAGTCTAAACATAATCTATGTAGTTTACATTGGTTACGTTTATCAGAAAAAGCAGTTTAGCAACTGTTGTAAAATTCTTTAATATAATTGCCCTTGCTTTTAGTTCTTCACTGGACTCTTACATGTATAAAACAATTATATTAAAGAATTTTACAACAGTTTCAAAGTTGCTTTTTCTGAACACAGCCGTTGTATTCACGTAGACGAATTATTATATTTTGCGCGTAAACGCACAAATCTAGTCGCAAGATTTCATATTGTTTAATAAAAGCCGCAATTGGTTCGCTCTTTTCTCCTGAATATCGCACGAATGATCGTGTACGTCGTCTCGACGACGCGGATGTTAATGGGAGCTGAGGACAGACGTTACAATAATAGACGGAGGCGTCTCACGAACGTCGGGGAAAGACCGCGAAGGAGCTCGGCACGCAGCTGGAGACGGAACGACTCTCTCGATTATCATCGTCTTCGACGAGGACGGGTGGAAAGCGAAGAGCGCCGCTTTAAGAGTGACTCACGAGATAAAATCTCCAACGTCTTGCTTCGTCCGTGTACTTTTAGAATCTTCTTAAAAGTGACATCCTGCTTTAAAACTCGCGATACGTACGACAGAGAAAATGGATCCGTGCGTTCCGTGCGTTACAGCCAATTATGTGTTGTTGTAACTTGAAACGAGTAGCCATTACGATTTAAGTACGCATTCTCTCTAATCGGACTGTCTGATGTGAAGGAACGTCAAATGTTATTTACAGATTTCCGTTTAAATAATTCTATTAATTATTATATATTTATAGAAAATGCATGAAATTTGCTAAGAAGCATGTAAAGAAAATATTTTTAGTTATTAAATAATTGAAATTGATATATGTTAACCACAATGATTTTAATTTAGTTAGCTGTACACGTAATTATCTAAAGAGGTCCGGCTAAGTGATTAAACTGTAAAATTAATAAAACCATGCTAATTTTATATTTTATTTATTACATCCTGACGTTGCATGCGTCGGTGGTAATTATAGATATTAACAGACCCGCATGTGTGTTGCCCTAGAATTCATGTGACCGAAACGCTTCCGTTAAACGTGATACCTTCGCCTGCATTCAACTAGAAGGAAGTGCTTTCCAAAAAAAAAGAGTCCTCCTGTTACGGTTCCGGTGAATGAGCTCAAGGTAATCCGATATAAAGAATAATCGTACCGTCGTGACGCATTGAACAATATTTTGCACGCAAGTTATAATTAGCCTGCAGCTTCCGGGAATTAATTTGCAACGGTGATTAATACCGCGTTATTATTCGAAGGCTTAATTTCGCAGTTCGAAAACGCTGAAGAATGCTGCCAATAAAAAGAAAAACGACTATTCGCTTTAATGAAAGCGGCACTCGAGGGCTGCAGATTTGTTCGCACGCGTCCCTTTTCGGGGGATGTACCCCTTTGCGATGCAAGAAGCACAACCCCCTACGTTTTTCCGTCCCTTTCGCGCTACGGACAGGTCGTCCGCTCTTTCGCCCTCTTTCTCTCTTCTTTCTCCCCTTCTTTCTCCGTCACAACGACGAATTCCTCCCCGCTCCTTCGAGGCTTAATCTCATCGTCGAGTGTAGCTTCGCCTTGGAAGAGTGGAGTTCAGAACGCCGACACGAGCGTTTCCCTCGTCACGAGTACCGCTCGTCGTTCATTCTCAGACTCGACTCGCGACGGCTGGCTGCACTCCTCGGTTCGGTTGCACTCGGCCGCATACGCACCGCACTTCGTTTCGACACGTCGAACGCGCACGCACGGATTCCAGGGATCGACCCACGGCAGGATAGAGGAGTCTCGACAGGTCCAGGAGAAGAAATCAGCTGTTTCCTTTCATAGCGTACCGTTTTTTGAAAGAAAAGCAAGATGAGGGAAATCGTGCATCTACAGGCTGGACAATGCGGCAACCAGATCGGCGCGAAGGTAGGCCGGTAACTCTAGAAAAATGTCTTTTTAATCTCTATACATTTTCAAATGTACGAAAAGAATTTCCATAAAGCATATCGAAATACTTGGATGTATTTTTTAATGGAGTTAATTTTTCCTATTAACCGACCATCAAAGAAGAGAGAGATTTTTATTTCATTAATTTATTTAATGAACCTCATGTCTTTTAAATATGAAATATTATTTTTGTACATGCTAGTGATATGTAAGTGGCATAATTATAATGATTATAATTTGTTTAACTTGACATTAGTTGAAATACTTGGATGTATTTTAATGGAATTAATTTTTCCTCAGCATTAAGAGACCATCAAAGAAGAAATAAAAAGAGATTTTTATTTTATTAATTTATTTAACGAACTTCATCTATTTTAAATATTAAACATTATACATGCTAACGATATGTAAACGATATGTAATCATATATTGTAGTCGTGTATTTGTTAAATTTGACATTAATTGAACCTTTTTAATTTTAATTTTAAATACTGAAGATATCCTAATGGGAAGGTTGTAACGTCTATATTATTATTACAAGATTCGAATTTATAAAATTGTTTACGCAAAGCATTCTGCGTTGACTTTCATGTCTTTGTGTTTTTATTATTTTTGTACATATCAAGCGGTTTTCGAAAATCATGTACTAATTCTGTGACAAATATTAAGTTAATTTTACCTCAATATTTTTATCTAACTTTGATAAAAGGAACCATTTTAGAAAAGTGTTTTACAAAAATGGATTATCAAAATAAAGAAATTAACATCGATAATTAAATATTTCAATATTACAATTTTGTAACGAATGAATTGATGAAATAATTATAAATTCACAATCGAATTTTTAATGCAGTAATTAAGTTCAGCATGCATAATAAGGTGCGGATAGCTAATCAGTATCAAACTCCAGAAGCGTGAATGGAAGAGTGATTTATTCAACAGAGCGTATATTCAACAGAGTATGGAGCGCTATAGTGTCGATAACATAAGAATAATTTATCTCTTCGCGGTCTCTCCGGAAATTAACTGTAAATCCAGTTTACATCGCACAGAGACGACAGACGACTGTCAATTAAAGCGCGAACAAGTCAAGTATTATGACTCACCGTCTTCGGGGTATCGATCGGAGTTCGCCTGAAGCACTCTCGTAGTTTCCAGAAAAGCTCTTTAAACTTAGACTCCCATCACTTATATTTGAACTAACAGAAAACCGGAAAATACCTATCAATTTTTTACCGCATCTCCTTTCAATTTTCAAGGAATATTGTCCCGTTTGAACTAAATATTGTTGAACAAGCTGTATTATTTTAGTAACAGAAAGATAATTACATTCTTTAATAATTTGAAACATTTTTTTATAATAATCTGAAAATATTAACGAAACAGAAAATATTGCTACAAGCGATTCTTGTAAATTCTTGTTCTTCATCTCTTTCTCGACAAAATTAATAAATTTGATAAAAGTAGATTAGGTAGAGCAATAATTGGCGAGAACATGAATGTTACATCGCCCCATAAAGAAAAAGCAATCTTACTTAATGGTATCGTTCGATAGCGGCTGTAATCGAATTGAAGATAAGACGGCGCAACGAATGGAATTTAAAGAACCGCATTCATCCCGATATTGATATGGTACCCTCTTTTATTTCGCACGACAGAGTGCGTGAAGTGATCCAAGTTTTAATCGCGCCGGCACACGATGGCAGGAAATGACGATCGCTTATACTTAGAGAGCACTTAAAATTCTGCAACCGCGTCCATTGTCCATTGGCGTGAAAATAAGTGGACATAGAAATGCACGTCTCAAAATTAAATTTCCATATTTAATTAAAGTGGTAATAAATCAATTAGTTTTTATATAATTAAATCACATATATAAAAAAAATAAATAAATCATTTTGCCTTAAAATAAAAAAATCTACAATAGCTGATCAAATATATAAAAAGCTATTTATAATACAATCATAAAATAGCTTCCGGTTTTGTTTGACGAAGTAAATAAAATAATTATCGCGAAATCATAGATACGAACTGTAGCTGAAATTAAGTGTTGCCGTTAATTGATTCTAATGCTGGTTGCTTCTGAATAAGATATTATTGAATTTACATTATGCGAAAGTAATATTATCGCGAAGCATTTCAAATTCGCCAGTTTCATTGATCACGTTGGTAAGCGTAACGCTCGAAACATTTAATTACGTTTGTTGTTGCAAAAGCAATGTCAAAGAATTATATCTCTTTTATAAATTAAGTATTCTTAATAATTTACTGTGTATATTTATAATATTATCTCCTCTATGCTAATAATTATTTTAAAATATTATTTACCCACATTTTTATTTTAATGAATATTATGTTAACAATATAATTTTGCGAGCAATTTGAATTAACTAAAATATAATAAAGTACATAAAATAAAAATTACTTTGGAATGTACAAATACTTTTAAACATACTGGAATATACGTTTCGTTCAACAAAAGTCAACTTTCTACTTTACCCAGGTTTATCTTTGACAAATAATACCTTATCAAATTCACGTGTAACTTCATTACAAGTTAAGATTTTTCTTGATATTTCGTGCACAGTATTGCTCATCGAGCGATGACGAACACCACATTATGAACCAAAATATGAAACATACAATGAGTCAGAAATTTTTTTATGAACATAGTAAAGATAAAAATTTAGTTCTAAAATATCAATAATAATAATAATATATTAAATTGATACAGAAGACATGTTTAATTAATAAATGACTGACAAAAAATACGCGAGAAATGTTAGTTCTTCAACGAATCGATTTGTTGATCTTAATAATTCAATTTTCGCAATCATCAATCATTTTCGTCGATCCAGAAAGTGAAGCGCTCAAATGATTATCTTCCTTGAAAAGGATCGTCTGTCGTTGTAGATTCACTGTCAGTTTCACGGCATTGTTTTCCGCTCGAAAGATTTAACGATTGTAGGAAGCAAAACCGAAGTTCCTGTAGGATTATAATTAGTCATGATCTAGACGAGTAAACGATTACGACTATTTTTCGAATAGTCAAAGTACCAATTAAAAATCCAAGATAATCTAGCGAAGGAACGATCGATAAATCTGTTAAATGTAATAATACAGTTTCGCATTTTACTTAATTTATCTGCGCGATGCAAAGCTTCAATATATACAATTTTCTTAAGTATCTTTATTTAAAGAGTCATTGAATCTAATTTTTTCTTATATACGATGCATTCGTGTGTGATAATATATTCTTATAAAGCATATATTAATTTACAAAATATAAATTCTCGATCTCGAAAAATTCTATTTCAAATCGAACTGTCTCCGTGTGAGGAATGGCAACTAGTTTCTATTGAGGTACGTGTGATAATGAACGTCGCGTACGTGATGCACGTAAATGCAGCAGGGATGCATTTAGAATAATCAGAGAGAGGCCCATTTCGCCGAGGCAGCGGCCATGGCGACCGGCACACCGGCTTGCTAATAATAGGAGGAGAAAATAGTAAAGACAAGACAAATGGAGAGAGGAGAAATATTTAACTGGAGGGTGGACATGAGCCAGGGGGCACAAGCCGCGTTTAATTCCGTACGTCTCTATTTTTGGATGTCGCGCGTGTTATCCTTGTCGCCGCGACCGGAGTTTGGGGTGCATGCTCGGCTCCGGAGGGAAGTCGCCCTTCATTCGGCACGTCAAGTGGCTCGTAGGAAAAGTGTAGTAAAATAAACCTACCACAGTTATGTTTAGAAAACGTTAAGAAGATATCTGCTATTTTTATGTCGAACTACTTTCCGATTACTAGATATGTATGCTTAGAAATAAGTAGATTGTTTGAACAGTTGGCTTGTATAGTATTAATGTTAATGAATCACGTTTGCAGTTCTGGGAAGTTATTTCTGAAGAGCACGGCATCGACCAGTCGGGCATTTATCACGGTGACAGCGATCTACAGCTCGAACGAATCTCTGTATACTATAATGAAGCGTCTGGTAAGGGCATATTGTAAATATTATATTATGCTTTCTTCTCTATGCTCTTTAAATCTAAGTAAAACATAATTTAACTTGTTTTTAAATTTAATTGATTATTTTTCGCGTGAAACTTATTACGTATTGCACTAAAAAAATATTTTTTCAATTATTTTTAACAAATAATTTTAGTTAATAATTAATTCATAATAAATTAATAAATATATAAAATATAATAAAATACATAATAATTAGAAATTAATAAAAATAGAAAATATATATCAAAAAAATCTAAAAAATATCAAAAGTATCAAAGCGATAAAAAAGAAGACATTTGTAGTAATACCTAATTAGACAATTTAACTAATGCTAATTAAACTTGCAATGCTATTTAATGTTTTTTATAAACATATCCTGATTATATTTAATAAATACATTACTAAATAATTCTAATGATATTCCGACGTTTAATAAATTGGTAGAAAATAAACCATCCAAATTTCTGACATACAATCTTCATATAATTTGAAAATGTAAAGAGACGAAAAGAGAGATAAAACGCATAGAACCTTTCTAATGGAAATCACTTGGAGGATTTTGTCCTCGCGTCTAAAATAGCAATAACGAGAAAGATAGAAGATCGCGTGTCTTGCACCGATGGAATGATGGAGACAAGGAGCGTTGAGACACGCATTTTACGCTGAAAATAGCCATCTTATGTCGTTGGACTTAAGATTGTAAGTTGCAACTGCAACACGATTTCAGAATTTCTCATGCATTCGTTTGTGTCGCGAAAACAAGATTATTTCCGAGAACGTAACGTGCAGCACGTGCTCCAGAATAGAAACAGTTTAATTAACAAACGAAATGTACGCACCATGCATCCGTCGTTGTCGCGACTGATTTGTTGTTGGAAATAAAGTCTAACGCACGCTGTAAAAACCCATATTTTTAAATAAATTCTTACATTTTCATCTTTCCTTTTTATTATTTTAATTTACATTTTTAGAACTATTTCATATTCATTTTTTTTATTAGAAGGAATGTAATATTCAGTACCTTTTTTGTATATTTTTTTAAAAGGTTTTTTTAGGGATTTAAATAAGTTTTTACATGATTTTCATCTTTTTTACTGTTTTAATTTACATTTTTAGAACTATTATGCTTATCAATCAAATATTCTCGTAACAGTGCTGAAAATTAATGTTTTTTAATTATTAACATCTTATCAGTAATTGTCATTAATCAAGATTATTTATGTTTAAAATTAAAATTATTTTATATTATGTTGATAACCTCGCATAACGCAAATCCTTATATTATCCTGATGATAGTTACTCATTTGTAAACGATGCAGACATACGGTTCTATTGATGTACGCATTTCCGTCGATCATTATGGTCGGCACGAGTTTTCGGTAGAATGACAATAACGGTCGATTTGATATGGATGCCTTGGGATCTTGTATTATGATTATTGAATATGTCTATCATTATATTGATGTCCGTTTCTTTGACATTACTTAATAAATGTAGTTACATTTAATAATGGAAATATTAGAGATCTTATTAATTTTTGTATAATATATTTCTGTATACAAAATATTTTTTATATAAGTCGTCTTTCTTTTAACATCTTTAGATACTTCTCATGGGCGTAGCCGGGATTTGTTCTAGAGAGAGGAACCAAATTAGAATTGACTCTTGAGAACTCGGGAGGGGGGGGGGGATAATCGAATGGTATGGATTATTAGATCTGCTTTATATTTTTATTTTTAATTAATTATTAGCAGATAAATCACAAAAGCACACACATACATATTTAATTTATTAATTTACTTTATTCTTCTCAAAATTGTAAACTGATTCTTCGAACTGGAAAAACTTAAATTGGATTCTCGAAAAATCTTTCTATGACTTTTACCCCAGTTCTTTCTTTTTTTCTAAAATTAATTTCTTAAACGGCTTTTATTTTTGTTTTTCCTACAATTTAGAGCCGACTACTTAGCCTCCCTACCTCCTCCTCAGCTACGCCTATGATCTCTTATATTTTCCAAAATGTCTAAATGAATACAAATATACATATAAATGTATTACCTGGTGATTTTTATTTTAATTTTTCATTACAGTCGCGACATCCACGAACGGAGGGAAATATGTACCGCGCGCGATTCTTTTGGACTTGGAACCGGGAACGATGGACGCCGTTCGTTCTGGTGCTTACGGAAAGCTCTTTAGACCGGACAATTTTGTGTTTGGACAATCTGGTGCAGGAAACAACTGGGCAAAGGGCCACTACACCGAGGGTGCTGAGTTGGTGGATATGGTTCTCGATGTAGTACGAAAGGAATGCGAGAACTGCGACTGTCTTCAGGGCTTTCAACTCACCCATTCGCTGGGAGGTGGTACTGGGTCCGGCATGGGCACCTTGCTGATCTCAAAAATTCGTGAGGAGTATCCCGATCGAATTATGAACACTTACTCGGTGATGCCGTCACCCAAAGTATCTGATACTGTCGTGGAACCCTACAACGCGACCTTGTCAGTGCATCAATTGGTGGAGAACACTGACGAGACCTATTGTATCGATAATGAGGCCCTGTACGACATTTGCTTCCGCACTTTGAAGGTTTCCAACCCGAGTTACGGCGATCTCAATCATTTAGTTTCGCTCACTATGTCTGGAGTAACCACTTGTCTTAGGTGTGCATACAAATCCGTGACAATATAATAGAATTCTGTTTATCTGCACTCCATTTATACGAACTAGTTCGTGCTGAGTTCTTATCTGAATTACAGCGTCTTAGTTCGGATAATAGAATACTCTTTAAACTTTTTGGAGTGAATCTCACTTCAAAAGAATGAAATATCACTTCAAGGATTTAGAGTATAAGAACCTGATGTATCAACTTCAATATCTTGAACATCAGTTTCTATCATAGGAATTAATAAACGGTAGTAAAGAAGAAAGTGAATCTCTATTATCCAAACCGTATAAAAAAAAAGCAAAATTCTTTTAAATTATCTTCTAATTATACATAAATAAAGGAATATAGTAATACACATGTTCTTTTCTCATCTTAAATAACATATTAGTTAATAATTTTCTGTGGAAAAATAATATAAATTCATTAATAATAAAACCTGTTGCAAACATAATATTACGTATTGATTTTTTCAGGTTTCCTGGCCAACTGAACGCCGATCTCCGAAAGCTCGCGGTGAACATGGTTCCCTTTCCACGTCTGCACTTCTTCATGCCGGGCTTCGCGCCTCTAACATCCAGATCGATGCAACAATATTCCGCGCTCTCCGTACCAGAACTCACACAGCAGATGTTCGATGCAAAGAACATGATGGCGGCCTGCGATCCACGCCACGGTCGATATCTCACCGTGGCGGCTGTATTTCGCGGTAGAATGTCGATGAAGGAGGTCGACGAGCAGATGCTCAGCGTGCAGAATAAAAATAGCTCGTACTTCGTCGAGTGGATACCGAACAACGTGAAGACCGCCGTGTGCGACATCCCGCCGAAGGGCCTGAAAATGTCGTCCACCTTTATCGGCAACACCACTGCTATACAGGAATTGTTTAAGAGGATCTCCGAACAGTTCACAGCGATGTTCAGACGAAAGGCTTTCCTCCACTGGTACACCGGCGAGGGTATGGACGAGATGGAGTTCACCGAGGCCGAATCCAACATGAATGATCTGGTATCTGAATACCAACAGTACCAGGAAGCCACGGCGGAAGAGGACTTCGAGGCGGAGGAGTGCGCTGATGACTTCGAAACCTGCGAGCAGGAAAACTGAAAATTGCAGCGCAACGTTCCCTTTTACTAGATTTATCCAGCTTCTCTGTCTCTATCTCATCATCGTAGGAATCGCATGACTGATCGTATAAAGCTCGCGAGAAGCCGTTTTTTGATACTTTTATATGCAATATGCGCTTTATAATCGCTGAGCGTAATGTAGGCGATCGATTTTTTTATGAATTGTGTGATATCGAAATATTTATAAAGAGATCAATATTCAAAAGCAAATAAAATTGCAGCGAATATTAAATTAATATGAAAAATAATTATTTAGAATGTAAAATAGCTTCTTCTATTATTGATCTTGTGTTATGTCTATAATACGCCTATGTAATATTCAGCTTTACTATATAGTGACAATCGTAAGAATTTTCATATGCCGTTTGGACAAATGTGGTATGAATTGGAATGTAATAAAAATTGTTGAAAAATCAAATTTTCATCATGTTTATAATTACTATTAAAATGAAATGTCAAAATGCAATGGAAAAAACTTTTTAAATTCTTTTTTTCATAATTCCTCTCAATATTGTAGCACTAGACATTTGCCCTTTAAATCCTTAAATTTCTTATATTTTTAGATTTTTCTATATCACAATTTTATGTACAGTAATTTTATTCAATCCTGATAAGACATTTCTTTATTAGATTACAATGCGTTTTTAGGAACGTTAGTATTCATCAATGAAGCGGCTTAAATGATTCTTAACACATATTCATAATAAAATCATCTCCGTATGTTCATTCATATTTCAGTAAAGACAACTCCTTTTCAAGAAAAAATTTTATCTATAATTTTTTGAGCGATTAAACAAGTATTGTTGATCGCGATTTGATAACAAAGAATATGATAAATTATGCATTGTTATCTTGTATATAACATTGAAATCCAACTAATCAAATATTTTCTATTATTCTGTGCATGTTCAACATTTCGTTGTCCATATTCTGAAAAAAGTTATATCTCGTCAAAATTTAAAAAATTTTATACTGTATATTTCTTTATCATCATTTATGGCTTTTGTATTATTTAAAAAATACAGGATAACATGTAATCTTATATTTTTGATGTATAATAGATATCTTAAATTACATTTTATTTCTGAAGATAGTAGAGGCGGTGAGAAACTGTCGCGCAATAACACGCGTTCTCCTTTATTGTACGCAATAATAAAGTGTTTGCCCTCGGGGCACCGATGAGATAATGCGCGATCGCCAATTTTTGCCAAGGCCTTGGCTTCATCAATGTCAGTTGGCCGTCAGAGAAGGACGGTAACGAGTTCGATAACGAGAATCGCGTCTAAACGCCAACGTTGACTCGTCTTATTTAAGAGGCATATTTATATCGAATTATATATACTTATATATATATAAACAGCGCCTAATTAATTCGATAAAGACGATTTTATTTACGTAACAAAAAGCGTAACTCATCTAAGTTCTCTAAACATTAAAATATAGCGTGTTTAGGAGAATCCACTGCGAATATTAAATTGAAAAACAAGTTCAGAGTTTTGCTAACATTGTCTTTTATAAACTTCACAAAATAAGTACACAGATGAGTAAAACATCTTCTAAAAATTCATGTATACGAACAACACATAAAACGCTGTAAAACAATTAAAAAAGTAAAAATTACAAGTACAAAGGAATTAAATTAAAAAAATTCTCAAAAACTTTTGCAAGCGTGCGATCCTCTGCGTTAGATCCTTCTACTTTTCCATTTCTTCTTCATCCATTTCCTCGTAGTCCTCTACTAACGCGTCTTGATACTGCTGATATTCCGATACAAGATCGTTCATGTTTGACTCCGCCTCGTTAAACTCCAATTCGTCCATGCCTTCGCCAGTGTACCAATGGAGGAAAGCCTTCCTCCTGAACATCGCCGTGAACTGCTCGGAGATCCTCTTGAACAGTTCTTGAATAGCCGTGGAATTGCCGATGAAAGTTGCGGACATCTTGAGGCCGCGTGGCGGAATATCGCACACCGCCGTTTTCACGTTGTTCGGTATCCACTCGACGAAGTACAAGCTATTCTTATTCTGGATGTTAAGCATCTGTTCGTCTACCTCCTTCATCGACATCCTGCCGCGGAAAATGGCCGCCACGGTGAGATAACGACCGTGGCGTGGGTCACAAGCCGCCATCATGTTCTTTGCGTCGAACATTTGTTGCGTAAGCTCTGGCACCGTGAGAGCTCGATACTGTTGGCTTCCTCGGGATGTGAGGGGCGCGAAACCTGGCATGAAGAAGTGAAGACGGGGAAACGGCACCATGTTCACCGCGAGTTTTCTCAAATCGGCGTTTAATTGACCTGGAAATCTATAATCATTTAAAATAAATTAAGTATTAATAATTACATATTGAAATTACATATTATTGATAATTACGTATTGAAATTATATATTGATTCATATCATAATTTCTTCATTAATATTTTTATTATTATATTAATAATTTGTTCAAATTTAATAATGGTTAGTTTCGTATTGTATACCTTAGACAGGTTGTCACTCCGGACATGGTAGCCGATACGAGATGATTTAAATCACCATATGTCGGAGTAGTCAACTTCAAAGTACGGAAACAGATATCGTAGAGTGCTTCATTGTCGATGCAATAAGCTTGATCACAGTTCTCTACCAGTTGATGAACCGACAGGGTAGCATTATAAGGTTCCACTACAGTATCGGAAACTTTAGGAGATGGTACCACGGAAAAGGTGCTCATAATTCTATCCGGATACTCTTCTCGTATTTTCGAGATGAGCAGGGTACCCATTCCAGATCCGGTACCACCGCCCAAGGAGTGCGTGAGCTGAAATCCCTGCAAGCAGTCACAGTTTTCGGCTTCCTTCCTCACTACATCAAGCACTGAGTCCACCAGTTCAGCACCCTCGGTGTAATGACCCTTGGCCCAGTTGTTGCCGGCCCCCGACTGGCCAAACACAAAGTTGTCTGGTCGAAATATCTGTCCAAAGGACCCTGAACGCACAGAGTCCATCGTGCCGGGTTCGAGATCTACTAAAATCGCACGCGGTACATATTTCGGACCGGAAGCTTCGTTGTAATAAACGTTGATCCGTTCCAACTGAAGATCCGAGTCTCCGTGATAGGTACCCGTAGGATCGATGCCATGCTCATCAGAAATCACCTCCCAAAACTATGAATGGTTAAAAATTAATAATTTGATTAAGAATTAATTTCTGAGAAAAGAAGTATACAATAGAAAAGATAGAAACATGAAATATTAATCAAAAAAAATAATCATGATAAAAGCGTTGTATATTTAACTAAGTTGCTATTTCTAATCAATTATTTAAAAAATTATTTTTTTAATTAAAAATTTTATATAAATTACATAATTTTATATAATTTTCTCAAATATTTAAAATTTTAAATATATATAATAATATATAATTTATATTTTTTATCGAGATCGAGAGATACTAACCTTGGCGCCAATTTGATTGCCGCATTGACCGGCTTGAATGTGAACAATTTCACGCATTTTGTATTAAATATCGTCGAAATTTAAGACAAAATAATTGTATGAAATTTAATAATAATTTTCAATAATAATTGTGGTAGAAATTAGTTCTTAAAATTGAAGGATAAAAAACGAGGAGATCGCGGTCTTGCCTAAGATGTCATTTAAACAGAAACAGGCGACTGTTGAGTTCTCCTTGGTGACTGTCCAACCACCTAGGCTATGTTCAAATTCTCACCCGAATGCTACAGTAGCACTCCGCTACCCAGGTATCATTTTATCCTTATTTTTTTTATCGTTAAACAAAAATAACATGATACCTAGGGAGCACTCGGGTGAAAGTCTGGATGCGCCCCTATATAGTTTTCTACCTGTTATTTCGTTATGATATTGATTTTTTAACAATACTATAATTGATAAAGTCAATATCCTTGCTCTCACTTTCAACAATCAAGTATGAAATATCAAACATGCAAGGTTTCTCAGACGATCATCACAATTCGTCTCAATAGATATTTTATTTAAGCTAACTGAAATCACAACAAGATTTTCTTAATAACGCAAAGACAAAATGTAAAATCGACGTCTAACTGAACAAATAAAAAAGTATAGCATTACATTCTAGAGTCCTCGTAGATCCCGGACGTTAATCCTCGATTCACACGCGTATCAATCACACGCAATGTACACGCACACACCGCGACAAGTTGGAAGTACTCTTCAGCAGCACAGAAAAAAAGACGGGGATCGAATCATGCTAGTCGACAAACTCAGGCAGGTTTCACAAAGGAAGTACATTATAATAAATGGAAAAATAAATACAATGCGTGTCTATACTGGTAATTATGATACAACGTTGCAAAGAGTTAATTATAAGACTGTCTGTTATTTCGTCCTGTCTCATTGCGACTTCCGGCACACGGACACATCCGCCACTACGCTGGCCGTCTTCGGATCGACGACCTCGACATTCGACAATTCCTCCGCTTTTGGTGCGCTTAAGTTCTTCGCCTCTTCTTCTTTCGAGGGCAGCACGGCAGCTGGCTTCTCGCCCTGCGACGTAGTCGCGCCTTCCTGCAACGCGACTTTCGAGGTAGACGAGCGACTACCCGGTCCACCGTTCACTAAGTACCCCAACGGCAGGGACTCGGACTTGCTTGAACCTTTCCTGAAATCAATATCAAATATTAATATCAAATTCGTTAACATACACATGAAAGTAATGATCGTTAACATTATTTCAAAATTAAATAGAATCCGTTAACAATGATTTAAAAATAAAATCGAGAAACTTGCTATAAAACATAAATTCAATAAAAAATATTTACCAAAAAAAGTTCTTTTTCTTGAAAATAAAACTCTACTTTGCATTTTGCAATATGCCAAACCTTTCGTCAGTGAGATTACTAACTTTGGTATCGTCGGACAGGACCACAGTTTGAAATCAGCCCCGAAGAGCTCACCCTCCTCGACCGTCTGCGGCAGATGGATATTGAGCGTTTCCGGCAAGAATATGGAAGTGAGAGCGCCGGCGACGCTCAATGATCCCATTACGATTAGGGGTAAGACTCTAGAGTAGACTGCTAAATGAACGATATAGGGGAAGGTAAGAAGGCCGATGCCGGCGATGAAAGAAGCTATGCCCATCGCCTGAGACCTTAGTACGGTTGGCAGCAGTTCGCCGACGAAGACGTAGAAGACAGCGAAGGACGCAGCGATGCCGAATTTGCCGATCATCGCCAGACTCACTGTCACCCAGACCGCATCTGCTGCGACAAGGGCCGATCATGTATACAAAATGTATTCGTAGATGGATTCTATGGTCGATATTCATACTCAGAAAAAAAATGTGCAGATTTTAAATAAATATTTACTCCAATAGTACTAACGAAATATTTACTAAATGTAAACATATATTTATTCGATTTAAACATAACTGTTTCATTTTGAATAAATATTTATTTACTATAAATAAATATTTCGTTAGTACTATATTGAAGTAAATATTTATTTAAAATCTGCAATTTTTTTTTAAGTGTAATCGGTTCTTACATTTAGCATCATCTATATAGTTTTAAAATGGTATAAGCCAATCATAGATCTGTATTAACATCTTAAGACATTATTTAAGATAATCTCGAAATACGAATGGATTATGAATTTCGACCTAGGTCTTGATTTTGTTGCTTACGTACTTTATTTCCCTTTTAAAGTATGTCTCTTATCTTCCTTTTTAATAAAAATTTGAAATTTAAGTGGATATCGTGGGTTTTTGATGAGAGAAGCTATGTGTGCGGTGTGCGGTAACTAATTCATAAGCAGGTCGAACGTTTATTCATAAACGTTGTGACGTCGGCAACAGTAATTGCCTCTCACACATTGGATGTGTGTAACAATATCATGACGAATTCAATAAGGTAATGACGTTGAGGCCGCCATGACGCAAAGGCGTGCGATTCGGTTTAATACTTTTATTCAATTTTACCCCGCGAAGATAATCGAATAATGTGAAGATGAGCAACGTGGTAAATGGTCGTCATCGTACGTACATTTTCTCTTGTCGGCATTAGGGATATCCGGCATCGCGTATCCGCGTACATGTAATATGTACGAAATACGACAAAATAAATTAAATTTACATATAAAATATAAAATAATTCTTAAGTTGTTCACACAGATATACCTATAAAACTATTTCTGTTAAAAACATTTTAAAATCAGACATAAATCGACGAAATAGTACCTTCGGGCACGAACATACAGGACACGCAAGCGAGTCCACCCAGCATCATGGTCACGCACAATACCCATCGCCTGCCTAATCTGTCCATTGCGTACCACGTAATAAAGTACGATGGAATCTCCACGATTCCTCCTACGAAAGATAAAAAAAAATCTGTCACTGCAGAATTATACAATAATTTTTTCATCCTAGTATATCAGAAATGTATGAGATCGTGATGCACTTATGTTAACGAACAATTTGGGGGTCGGGAGAGAGAAGACTTTTACCAATGAAGAAGGCCAGATAATCGGAGACACCCAGATTGGTCGTGTTGTAGGACAGCCCGTTGTATACCACCGCGTTCGCCACCCAATCAAAAGCGAGAATGAAGAACTTCTTCCTGATGTTTGGGTTTGTGATCAGGTCCATGGGTGTCGCAGATGACGGCGTCGCTCTGTTTTCGCCTTCCAAGTCAATGTCGTTGGAATTTCTACCGTTACATGATATCCCTTTCCTCTTTAATATTTCTATCTGTAAATAACGTTGTTAATGGAGTTCATATAATCCTTATACAGAGTATCCCAAAATTCGCGAAATTCGAAATACTATAACAAAAAAATTTTCGAAAGATTTTAAGTAAAAAAGGTTATTTTGTAAATTTTTATTTTAAACCATAATTTCTGAGATATAAGAGTTTAAATGTGTCCAATTATAGACATTTAAATGATCACCTGTGAGTATTGATAACGCCCAAGTGAACGCTTATCAGCTCTCACTAAATTACAGCACGCGTGAGTCATACATATAGCTAGATATAATCTGTAATTGGCTACATTTAAATTCCTATTATTTTAAAAATTACTGCTTAAAATAAAATTTTATACACTTTTTTATTTAATTTTTCGAAAACTATCTTGCAATAGTATTTTGAGTCGCAAATTTTGTATGTGACACCTTGTATGTCGCTTTTTTACTTCAAAGTAACAACTCAAAAATGTGATTTTCCAGTTATTATCATAAATGACTAAAATAAACATTACCCTTATACAGGGTGTTTCCAAATTAAATGGCAAAACTTCGGGAGCGTGTAGAGGAGTAAAAAACTAAGAAAAAAAGTCCTATAGACATATGCTCCTTTTTGCTTTGTTTCGCAGGAAATCACGAAAAAAGAAAAAAATATATTTAATTTATTATTTTAATTATTTTATTTATAAACTTTTTAATGAAGATTTTGTTCGAAATGTGCACCTCTTGCAGCAATACAAGCATTGCATCTGTCAAACACGGCTCTTGTAGCAGCCAGGCACTGTTCTTGCGATATTCTGTTCGCTGCAGCTACGATACGATTTCTCAAATGTTGCTCTGATTGAATAGGCGAAGAATAAACTTCTTGCTTCAGAGTACCCCATGCATAGAAATCTAATGGCGTTAAGTCGGGCGAACGAGTTGCCCAATGTACTGCTCCTCCACGTCCAATCCATCGTTGTGGGAATTTTCTATCTAACCAGGTTCTAGCGACTCTGCTGTAATGAGCAGGGCATCCATCTAATTGAAACCACATTTCAGTACGTTGTTGTAATGGGATGTTTTCTAAATAGTCAGAAAATTCATTCTCCAAGAAATTTAGAAAACGGTCCCCATTTAATCTTGCAGGTAAAAAAAACGGTCCCACTAAAACGTCGTTCCAAATTCCAAGCCAGACATTAACAGAAAACTCTTGCTGAAATTTGTATTCTCTAACAGACCTGGGATTTTGATGAGCCCATATATGATAATTCCTTTGATTAATTATTCCACCTCTGGTAAATGT